AAAAAAAATGATAACTGAGATTCCATCAAAATTTAGAACTTTAAATGACATCATTAAAATGAAAAGTAGTCCTTAAATAGACCATATTTACAATGCATATAACCTATGACCAGAATATATAAAGAATTCTTAGAGCTCATTAATAGACAACTCAATTAAAATGTAGACGTAAGAGATGATAAATAGCCAGTACAGCACAAGGAAAAGTGTGCAACTCTAGAATCAGAAAAATACTAATCAGTACAATAATAAGATTGAATTCTACACTGGTGGGGGGCAGAGCAGGATGCTACCCGCTGCCCTCAGAGAGGTGTCCGGTGGTGGAGAATGAAGACCCTTGCATACTGGTGTGTGAGAGGCAAAAATTCTGGATGATGAGATTGTTCCTGGGCATCTCAGGGCAGGGAAAGGTCGAGGCAAAGGAATGGCCTAGGTGCCTTGAATCATTGTGAGGTGTTTCCTCTCTCTGCCTTATTTATGTGAAACGTGCTGGTATCCCACCATGCTTTGTAAACCAGTTCATGTTCAACACAATTTGCTGTCTGTTCTCTTCCTTTATTCTCTGAGATGAGTTTCACTCTACAGTTCAGGCCAGCCTCAAACTTGTGATGCTCCTGCCTCAGCCTCTCATGTGTTGCTAGGCGTGCACCACCATGCCTGGATCTTCTCTTTCATGGTTAAATGAATGGACCTCGCCCAAGTTTGCCCTGGGAGCTAAGGAACTTCTGTCTCATGAATGTTCTCCCCTGTGGATTTATTCATTTAAGCGAGCTGTGCTCTGTGTGTTCACTCCATGTATTAAAACATGTAGAAGCCTCCAGAATTTAAAGAAAGTATGAGAATTCAATAAATCCGTGTCTTCGCTTTCAAAAGGAGTTTGGAAATTCCGTATCTGTGCTAGCACTGCTAGGCAAGGTCAGCAAATTGAGCTCTGAGTGGAAGCCAGCAAATCTAGGTTCCGGGCACTTCCTTTGTCACTCACTATGGTGAAAACTGGAGCAAAACACCTTTCTAGATCCCAGCCCCTCTCTCTTGATGAAAGAAAGAATTGAATTGGAGGAAGCACTTTTGAATCCCTCCTAACTCTAAAATATTCAGATTGCAATTTTTTGGATCCACTTTCTATCTTTTGTTTTTTAATTTAAAAATTCTTCTTAGTACATATTTGCAGTTCTTTACAATTACCTTTATCGAGGCAACTTGGTACATGTACCTAGCACATCTTAATTTTTTTGGATTTCAGAAGACCACACCACCCATGACCCAGAGAGGGCAGCATAAGCCCAGGCTACCCATGAAAAAGAAAGTGTCTACCGGCTTGCAGATGTCAGCTTTAAAATTCTAAGACTGCCAAAGATTGTATGTTGAATTGACTCATTTCAGAACTGATTTTGTTTTGGAAGGAGAGACACATGAGTCTTGGTGTCTATGAATTCACTAATGAATCAACACATGTAAGATGAGTTTTAAAATATACCCACTCAGAAGATAGAGTGCTATTATTATTTCTCCTTGATTTCTGGATAGAAGCCCACTCATTTGAGAGTTTTGTTTTCAAATAAGATGTTAATATGTTCCTTTTTTTCTCAGAATGGTTGTAATGAAGTTTCGTATTGAGCCATTCACTATTCTGTTCAAATTTCTTTTATTATCCGTGTTACCACGTGCAAGTGATTTAACCTATCTCTTAGCCTCAGTTTACAAGTCTGAAAAAACATTTAAGTCTAAAACGTTAAACAGGGATTAAGAATTTCAGCAACAGGGCCTAACACAGAGAAGAAAGGGTTACAGTAGATCTCTAAGGTTCTTCATGTGTAGATTTTAATAAACTGATACATTACTGATGTTTTATAAAGCTTGTCTCAGCAACAATTCTCAAGTTAGGCAGAAAACAGTAATAAGAAAGAAAGCAAAGCAAAATAACTGCAGGCTGATGCTTTTAAGAGACATATCCAAGTCATGCTGGTAGGAAATACGACTCCTGATCCATGTTTAATCCACTCCACCTTACACTTGAAAATGAACATTTGCTGGGTTACTAGTTGTGCAAGCAGACACCACAAACAGATTCATGCAACATAGTTTACAGTGGGAAATGTCTGGAGTTTAGGAAACTTGTATTCTTATTCTGAACTGCCAAACATGTGCCTTCAGAGAAATGGGTCTACCTGAGTTTCATTTTCCTTGTCTGTAAAATGAGAAAATTAACTATGATCTCTTGCGTAACTACCAATCTCTGATGCTATGGAAGTACATATTTTGAATAAGTTGGATATTTTTTATTTTAGGTGCATTTAATAGCATAAAGATGACAAGGAAACTCAGGAAGACAAAACAAAGAGGAAGCCCATTTTTTTCCCCCCAAAACTGCTTAATTGGTGAGCTGAGCTCACTTCCCTTTTGCAGAGAAGCTTTGGTTTTTAAAGTATCCTGATAACAGTTACATTCCCAGGACCCAGGGTATTTGGGTCTGACATGTTAGCTCAATAATGGATGGTGTGGCTAGAACTCAACATTTGGTGACAATTCCTGCACAAACCCCCTGAGGTGAGGAGAGAGGAGATACCTTGTATATGAGATGAAACAGAAAATTGAATATGGAATTTTCCATTCTTCCCAACGTAGGAGAAAAGAAGCATTGCAGGAAGGAACGCACCTTTCCTAGATGGGAGAGATTGAAAGTGTGAAGATCAAAGTCAGAACATTAGAACACGGAGCTGTGCATATATTAACTAACACAGTTTCCTCCTTTTGTAAATTTTGCAAATGAGAAAACTGAGATCTCACAAGGTTATAGGACACAGCCTAACCTGGGGTAGAACAAGGGTAAGAATTAGGGCTGCGATTGGAATGGAAATGATCCTTAATGTGAGGCTAAAGACTGCACCATTCATTATTCTGTTCTCCAGCAACTGGTCTGGACCCAGCCTCAAAGTAGATGCTCCATGAATACTGGGCAGGATGGACTGGACTGAATGGATGCCTGAAGAATATGTTTGAGTTTTATGTTCCCTTATAACCAGCCAGACAAGCACATGGTCCATTTCAGACCTGTTTCATCTGAGATATTAAAGGGTTCTCTCTACTCGCCATGACGAACACTTTTCTTGTCCTGTAGTATTGCTTCCTCTTTGTTGATGTAACAGGTTACACATCAGAATGTTACCGGATATGTGTGGTGGCGCATGACAAAGATTGAGGCTTCCTTTGATGTGAGTGTAGACTTAGCAGCCTTAATATAGAAATCACTGGTGGTTGGACAGCACACTGTGCTGGCTGGGGCTCAGTGGGTGTGGCCACCACTCCTGTGACTGTGGTGATGTAGATACTTGGAGAAGTACCCAGTTCAACCGGAGAGTTAAAACTGCTTGTGCAGTCATCCTTTGAGCTTCCATCTGAAGAACCCATGTTTTCACATCTTTCTTTGGAGTGTGTCTTGTTGCTGTTGCTACTACTGCTGACAAGTAAGTGCAAGTGGGCATGGACATTTGAAGTTGGAGAATGGTGTGGTAGGGAGCACAAGAGACCAATACAGAGATGGTCATTGCAGTGTTGTTTGCACAAGTTTGGAAGGCACCTAAGTGACCATCAGTGGGGAGTAGGTAGATATATGTGGTATATCCGTGATACAGTGAGCCTGACTGAACAAGCTGATACAGAAAGCCTGTAAGTTATCATGCTATGAAAAACATCAAGGGACAGAACAGTGCACTCACCAGATACTAGACAGAAGTGTGCACGTGCGGGGATTGTAAGGGAGAAGGACTGCTTAGACATTTCCTAATATATGGATTCTAGGAAGGGGAGCTCGGAAACGGAGAGATTCGGAGAGGAAGTTGTGCTTTTCATATGCCATGTTTACTGTTTGAATGTTTACCGGGAAGATCTGTGTGTATGTACACATATGATGAAGGAGTATTTTAAACTTCAACACAACTTGGAAGTGGTTTCACATATGCAAGCTTCTTCTTTGGCCAAGGGTTTTAGGTTTTTATTCATTTTGTCTCTAGTGCATTTCTTTTCATTTCTCCATCTCTGTCTCTGTATCTCTCTGTCTTTATCTTTCCTCTGTCTCTGTCTCTGTGTGTGTGTCTTTTTCTCTCACTCTCTGTCTTTCTATCTTGGTTCTCAGAATGGAACACAGGGCATTCTCAGTGAGCTATATCCTGAGCTTTTTAAATTTGGAAACCGGGTCTTGTAAACTCACTAAATTGTTGGGTGTGGCGGCAAATGCCTATGAGCCCACCACTCAGGAGGCCAAGGCAGGAGGATACCTGGAGTTCAAGGGCAGCCTGGACTGCATGGTGAGTTCAAGGCCAACCTGAGCTATATAACAAGACCTTGTCTCTAAAAAACAAACAACGCACAAGAAAGCAAACAACACACACAGAAACCCCCAAACACTAAGTTGCTAGTTGCTCATGCTGGGCTCAAACCTGCAATTCTTTTACCTCAAGTTCCTAGAGTACAGGGACTATAGGCATGTACCACCATATCCAACTTCCTCCTGATGGTTGAGTGAGAGAGAGGAAGACAGAGAGAGAGTGAGAGACAGAGAGAGAGAGAGGGAGAGAGGGAGAGGGTGATTTATGTTAGCATAGCCATCCTTTGATGGTGTGTGTAAAATGTTCCTTGTTGACAATGACCTTTCCTTACTTCTAGTTTCTGTCAGCTGTGTCCTCTGATGTTTACAGAACTAGTCCACAGCTCTCTCTGAGGACGGTGGTTCTCAGAGTGAGGAGGTGGGACTCTCACCCTGGGAATTGTTAGAAACACAAGGTTTACGGCTGCACCCCTGACTAGCTGAGCTAGAAACTCTAGAGGCCAAACCTCACAATTCATGTGAGGCAGGGCCTCCTGGTGGTTTTGATGCCTCTTCCATCTGAGAGTCACTGACATAGCTACTCATCCTTCAAGCAGGACAGCAGCAGTGGTTTCATCCTTATGCTGTAAAGTATCCTTGCAGTCTTCTGAAATGTGCTGACTTCAGGTGTCACGCTCTTTCCCTCTCCAGGGTCTTTGGAAGTGGCGTACACAGTGGAGTTGGGCCAGAATGCCCAGCTGCCCTGCACCTACCAGCCTGACTCCTCAGGGGCTCTTGTGCCTGTGTGCTGGGGCAAGGGTGCCTGTCCCATGTTTAACTGTCCCAATGTGCTGCTCAGAACTGATGAAAGGGATGTGACATATACGACATCTGGAAGATACCAGCTACAGAGAGATTTCCACAAAGGAGATGTGTCCCTGACCATAACGCATGTGACTCTAGGTGACAGCGGAACCTACTGCTGCCGGGTCCAATTCCCTGGCCTGATGAATGACGGCAAATTCAACGTCGAGCTGGTTATCACACCATGTGAGTAGACCTTTGAATGTCTTCTTTGTGCTTAAGACTCACCTGTAGATCATAAGAGACACACTGATCTTTCCACGTCTGCCCTCCCTAAGTGTATCCCTAATTACAGGGCCCCAGAGACCTACCCGTAATGCCTAGTGATGTATAATACCCTCCATATGTTTTGGAACTCAATAGAATCGACAGAATAGGAAGAAAGGCGTAGACCAGAGGCTTTCTAGAATTGCCTGGAAAGGTTTTTTTTCCTTTTCTTTTTTTCTGAACAACTACATATGCTCAGTCACTACCCACACAGCAGAGACATCAGCATCTCTGAAGATAGAGTCTGAGCATCAGCTTTTTACAAAGTTTACTCCAGGTACAGCCAGGACGGTGAGTCACCGGGCAGTGCACGTGTGTTGGAGGAGTGTGTGTATTCTTGAATGTTTCAAGAGTCACAGGGAATGTTCTTTGTTGCCAGATGGGGGCCAAATTCAAATCCAACTCTGCCTCTTACTGTAGGGAACAGGGAAAGGGGACGTTACTAGAACCTCTGCAGTTAAGTCCTAGTCTCCTGTGAGCCATTGCAGTACACGGCGAATTACAGGAAAGGTAGAAAAATGAGACTGAGAAGAAGCTGAGCTTTGGGTCTGATCAGTGCTGCTCTGGGCAGCAAAGACGAAAGTCCCCAGCTTACCGCACCTTTTATTCAGTACTCAGTACATCGGGAGAAATAAATGTTAACAAATGACTTGCAGAGAGTTCAGTACATCCGTGTAAACATGATGGTAACAGTACAAGAACAATGAGGAACTGAGTAGATGTTTGTTCCTCCCAGGATGTTCTCAGCTCCCAGGATGTTTCTTGTCCTGGAGAATCACAGACAGCATCACCGGATCATTGAGGTCTCAGTTGTGACCGGAGGCCCAAATGCAGTTATGTCTCAGAATTCCATAGCTGGGCTGTAGACAGGAGAACTAGGCTAACCAAATGATTTTTCCCTAAAATTATGTAGCATTGCTCCTGACATCTTACCAATTGTGTGATCAAGAACAAATTATTTAAACTCTGTGACCTCCTCTTCTGTAAAATATGATTCCTACCATAGGTCAATGGAAGACATTCATGAGATAATATTTCATGGGAACCTTTCAGTGTAGCCACATGAATGGCTGTTAGTTCTGTTGTTAATTAGGTTGTAACAATGGTAACTGAATTTGCAGAGTTGACTAGATCCTCACTGAAGGTGTCAGTACGGTAAGTTTGGAAGCTGAGGATGTTTCTCTCTTCATTTATTGTGTTTCACATTTTTCCTGCTGCCCCTTTGATTCCCTGCAAGAACTTCCTTGTTCTCAAAGAAGCCTCATCCTTAATGTTGGTTTCTGGCATTAGCCAAGGTCACTCCTGCTCCGACGGCACAGAGAGAGGGGACTGCAGCCCTTCCAAGGATGCTCACCACCAGAGGACGTGGCTCAGGTAACTCACGGGGCACAGGCGGGAGCCTTTGGTTGGTGTCTGAATTCAGAGGGTGCAGAATGTGGAAAAGGTGGATAGAACAGTGTAAGAGTAGAGGAATGAGGAGCCGCTGCATACCAAAAATGGTGTTCAGGATGAGGAAGGTGGAGACACACTTGTGCTGGCAGCCTGGGTTAGGGTTCTGGGTTAGCCACAAGCTAGCCATGAGCCCTGGACCAAGGTCTTTCACTTCTCTCATCTCAGCTTCCTCTTCTAAAAAGTAAGTTTAGAGACTTTTGAGTTTCGTGGCCCAGTAAAATTTCCCATCCCCTTCCCCAGAAAGAATTTTGGCGAGCTATGCATTTTGCCAAATAAAACATGAAAAAAGTTTGATGTTGCTGTCATTGTTAAAAGACAGTATTTTAGACTTTATTCTGCCTACATTTTTTTTTTTTTTGGTACTGGGGATTGAACTTGGGACCTTGCACTTGCAGGTGGTGGAACCACTGAGCTAAATCCTCAGCCTTATCTGCCTAAATTTTAAACTTTAGGAGTTTAATAAGAAATGATCCTTGTATTTTACTTAAATATTAGGTAATTTTGGTCTGATGAGAAACTCATCACTTTGTGCTCGTTATTCTGAGTAACATGCACCAGTGATGTTTCTGCAAGAATTAACCCAAGTCCATGTTCAGGGACTAATGGGTTGGATTAGGTGATTGGAAATTTCTTTCAGCTGAAATATAGCCCACCAGCTTTCTCAGATTCCAGCTAAATTCTTCATGTAATTCATTGAGGACTTTCCCAGCATGCCCCAGAAGAGAAGACAGGACGGAAAGAGTCACATCAATCCAGGAAGTTAATCTTACATTTTGTTTTTTTGGGTCAGAATCCTAGCATCTCTCTGAAATTCTATAGAGCTCTTCTTTCTCTGAAATGAAATAAAAACAGGTAAGTCCCACCACACAATGTTATCAATCTCATAATCAAACCTTATCAAATTTAAATAAGAAAGTATACCCAAATGCGTAGCTCAGGGTCTGATCATAGTATGTACTTACTGTAGGTTAGCTATTGTCATTAATTTTGTCAGTAAGATCAGAAGGCAGAATCAGATTATGGTCAAGTACTTCAGTGACAGGTAGAATAGGTTTGGAAATCAGTTCTTTCTAGCTTCGAGAACTCAGTAAAGTTGTTCCAGCTTTCTGAATCTCAGATTTTTCATCTGTAGGATGAGAGCAATTCCAGTGCCTGTTTCATAAGTTGTAAAAATTAAACATAATGATGTATAGAAAGTGATCAGCATGGCACTTTGTCCAATAGGTCACTCACATATTAGTTGCTAACACTACAGTTATTAGCTTCAGCTCTCTAAGGTTTCGGTCCTCTAGCAATTGGTAGCTAACATTTCTCATGTGAGTGGTGAGGAAATTCAATGTGGTGGGAACAGATGATTGCCCCCATGTAGGTTAATCAAGTCATACCAGACGCTATAGTGTGCCATTGCGTCATGTTACAGAACTCATCAGCACAGACATAGATGGGACTTGGGGGCACACTTCATCCCACTCCTGCATCCTGTGCTTCAGTGCCCTTCACAGCAGCACCGCTGAGTTGGCATTTACCGAACGCCACACATGCGGGCAGACAGTGGATGGGAGTTCACTTCCCCACAAGACCTTTGCTCAAGACTTTCATTCCTTTGTTCTTGCCTGTGCCATGAACAGAAGTCTCCTTCCATTTAGTGTTTGATTATTGCTTAGTTCTTCCTAGAGCAGGAAAAATGGGGCCATTTCTTACATCAGAGAATATTGGTATACCTCTGAGCATTTTAAGAGCCTGTCTGAGAAAATACTTAAACAAACAAATAAGATAAGGGCTTCAAGTAGTACAGTAAATTAAAAAGTGAAACTGTGTCAAGGATTTAGCTCAGTGGTTCTGGCGCCTGCCTTGCAAGCGCAAGGACCCGAGTTCGATCCCCAGTACCAAAAATAAAATAATTTTTTTTTAAAAAAGTGAAATTAATGTATAATAGATGGCTTGTCTATAATATATATGCCAATCATTGTTGAGTTAACTCTTATGCAGTTATACATACCTTCTGTTTAATGTGAATGCAGTTGCATTTAATACATTTGATGTAAAATGGAGTAGAGCTTTAAATAATGAGTTCCAAGAGCTGCGGAACTTCCTTAACCCACAGTGAATATAGAACAAATGCAATATCTCTCCTTCCTTAAGGAGGTGGGACCTAGTTTGAATCCACCTTTCTCAATTAGTTGCTTTGTGATCATGTTTAAAGTACCTCTCTAAGACTTAATTTCTTCATCTGAAGAATGGGAGAAATAATGGTACCTATCTATTGTCATCAGCATTAAATTGTGTGTAATAGCACTAACCATGATGTCTTCTGGATCATGTGCATATATACATGCACTTATATACTTTTAAGACTATCTCACTCCACCCCACTGCTACCTCCACCCCAGCCACATTGTGTTTTCCAGGAATAAGACTGCAACTTCATCTAGCTGTTCTACCCATGTTGGCCGATGGCAAAATCTTTGTGAGGAAAGCTATGATAATGCAGCAGTGTTCATTTTACTGATCATTTTCATAGCAAAATAAAGTTAAAGAGGAGCTGGGGATTTAGTTCAGTGGTGCTGCTGCCTGCCTCACAAAACCAAGGTCCTGGGTTTGACCCCTGGTACAAAAAAAAAAAAGTTAAAGAGTCAGTTGGGTTTCATGAAACACACCTGTGATCCCAGCACTCTGGAAGACTAAAACAGTAAGATTCCAAGTCTGAGCCCAGCCTGAGGAACTTAGCAAGACCATGTCGGAAATGAATGAATGAATGAATGAATAAATAAATAAATAAATGAGGCTGAGCATATAGCTCAGTTTAAAAGCCCTGAGTTCAATCCTCAGTGCACAAAAATTTAAAAAAAAAACAAAAAAAGGAAAAACGTCAGTCTCAACATTTAGAGTGTAATAATTATAGGGAAGTGGAAAATGAATTTTCATTTGAAAACCCTGCACGTGGTTATGATTCATGTTTACTTAGTAGTTCCACCACTGTGGTTTTTATACTTAAATTCCTGCTTAGGTAATAAAAGCTAAGTGAAACATAATGTCTTTCCCTTTTTTTTCTTAAATTATTCTAGGCTGAGCCTGCCACTTGATAATATTTATACCATAGTCTATTAAACTGTTAGCCAGTAAACCTTTTCTGCACCTTACAAGGTGTAGACTTTAAGGCTCCCACAAGGTGACCGTGACATTTAAGGAGTTTCAAAGTGTGTGACTCAGCCATAAACACGAGCCGGCCAGCTTGGTCTTCCTGATGGAAGGGATCTACGGTGGTTGTGTTCACAACGCCGTGTTCGTGAGATCGGGGCCTGCGGGCATCTTGGTCGCTGCTCTGCCCTATGTACCTGGTGTAGAGCAGTCCATACTCATTGGCTAAATAAGCAGGTGAAGAAGTAAACAAATAAACACAGGGAAAGCTGGTGAGCCAGCAGCCAAGCACTGTGCCCGCCTCACAGTGGTGGCAGTGCCAGGGGAAGGTTGCTCAGTTTGACTGGGTAAGAATGTGTGTTCAGGGCCATGTGGACCCGAGTTGGAGGCCATTTCTATTGCTCACTAACCCGTGTGACCGTGTGTAAGTCACTTGCTGAATTCTGTGTCTTCATCTGTCTAGGGGAACACTAGTCCCACTTCAAGACAGTGATTTTGGATGACAGATGAGATAGTTCCTTCTTTAATAGAGTTTGGCGCAATGTCTGGTGAATTGTAGCTGTAGTATTATTTTCTTTGAAGGCAACCAAATACCCTGTCTTCCTCTTACTGAGTAAATAGCAAACTTTTCCAAGACAATTAATTTTTGTTGTCTTTCAAAGTCTGGTTAGAATACAAGGGCTGTGTTAACCATGTTACTCGATTATTGTAGCAGTCTTTGAAATCCCGAAGACAAAACAAACTACTTTTTTAACATAAGTCTTACTGGCAGAAGTCTCTAGGTCATAAAGTATAGGTAGGAGGGAATCATTATCTAGGTGAAAAATGTAGATACCTTGAAGTTGATTCATAAGCATTCAGTGAATTTTGTTGATCTTCCTATTATTGGGAAGAGTATGGAGAATTAGTTTTAAATAGAATTACAGAAAACTTTATTTTTTCTTTAACTCAGATTGTAAAAAA